GAGTCAGTTTTGAAGCAGTAGGGTTTTAAACAACCCCCTGGTTCATTTAATGCCTGAAATAATGACTTGCACAGTCCAAATATTTACTATTGCACTTTTTAAGACATGGCAACTTTTAAAACTGATTTTTTCCAAATACCTGTTTTTCGCAGTTGAGAAAAGATAACTTGACTAGTATTTACTCAACTGTTATGAAATTTTCAGGGTTTGTTGCTCTAAGAGAGCTTTCTTGGATAAGCATAGAGATTTTTGAAATGTTTAATTTTAGGGAAGTTATGAATCAAAATGTGACCACTTTCTTGTTTACGAACTTTGACCAACCACTGTGTCAATTCCTTTTATAATATAAAAAAGTTCTATGCTCATTCAAGAAAACCACTTGTAATCTTTCATTTGGCACAAAAAATAAGCAATTTAATGCAATACCCACTCTTAAATCTTTTCTCAAAGGAAAATGGGGAACTCACAGCAGTGGCGTAACGTTATATCAGGGGGCCCCCGGTTCAAAATTTTCGAAGGCCCCCCTAGTAGAGGTGCCAAAGGCACGAGTCGAGCGCCGTATATGCACGAGTTTTCTAGGGGGTCCAGGTCATGCCATTTCCTGGACTTTGGGGAGAGATTTTACAGAATTCTGATGGTCATAAAACGACATTGTAACATATCAGAGGCCCTGGCCAATGTTTTTGCCCTATCGCCTAAGCCTGTGGGCCCCCATTTGGGTTGGGGGCCCCCGGGTTCACCCGGTCTGAGCCCATAGTAGTTACGCCACTGACTCACAGCATGTGGTAGCCGGTGTCGGGTTACAATGTAATTATTGATAATATAAATTATATTTTCAGAATCTATGTTTAATTAGCTTTCATATGATATATAGTTTATCATGGTTTAGAGTAAAACCTGGTGTGTTATGGCAATCTGAATGAACAGCCTAAAGTTTGGGTTAACCCCCGCCTTATTAAATTAATTAAATTAACTGATGTAATAGTCCAATCGTTACACTCTCGTAAACCTAGAAAAACAGTGGAATCTCAAGATGGTGGTTCCTGACAAATATTTGCCGTAGCGACAAATTTTTAATTTTCCACAATATGGAGAAATATTTAGGAATGACAATGTAATGAATGCTTTGAACTAATATATTTTGGGAATGTCTATTCTATTTTTAGCAAATTTAAATGATCAAACTAACTCAATATCACTTACATATAACTTTTGTAGTCGCAAAGTCAGTGTCTGGTGCTGCTTCGATGGAAACTTCGCACGTGTAGTTTCCAAAATCATCAAACGTGCTTCCATTTTGGTTGAAAAATAATGTACTAGTAACATTTTGTAGCACCACGTCATTGGTGGATCTACGCTGGTATATTCCACTGCCAATAGATGAATTGGAGTCTTCAGGGATTTCTTTGTTGTTTATTTTCCAGGTTGCTTTAGGATCGGGATAACCATAACCAAAACAAACTATACTACTGTTCTTTTGCCCTTGCCTCAACTTCCTTATTTCTCCTCCAACAATGTACGTATTAGGAAGTGCTGAAAGATAAAAAAAAATTCATTCAGTCGCCCGTCCGCCCCACCGAGATTTCCGCCACTGTGTTCAAGCCTAGCTTGTCCAAGTATTGTTAAATGACTAAGATAATTGGCTTGAAAGGTGAATTTGATTATTAATCTTATCCGAAAAGAACTATGTTTCGATTTTGTCCGAGAAGAACTATGTATCTTTATTAACGAGCTGCATGTTTTGTAGTGCTGTTAAACATAGTGCTTAATTTAAATTAAGACAATTTTGTTACGCCGCAAAGTATCCTCAAAATGCAGGAAATGCTAATGGAGAGGCTAAAATTTCGACAATTTTTCTTGAACAGGTCAACAATAATTTTACTGCTTGTAAGAATTTAGCCACAACCTCGCACCCAGCACTTTTTGCTTCCGCCAATAGTGAGATAAAACGACTCTGGCTTCGGCTGCCCACTTGACACTCTGCAAGTTACTAGTGTAACTCTGATACAAACCATTCCTCAAGAATCCAGTGTTACTTCCTGAAGTAACTAAACAAACTATATTTATATTTGATTACCCGATAGCATTAATTGTTCTTTCAAAAAGTCGGCAAAAGCCATCCCTTTTCCAGTTGATCCTGTGTTTTACTGAAGAAGGAAGCATGCACTACACTACACTAAACTAACTGTATTTATGTTTGATAGCTTATCAAATTTGAACTATTCGCCCTAATTAAAAATCCAGTAAAACCCATCCCCTTATTGCTGCAGGGGCTGGTACGGTTGTATAAAAAAGTGATTAAAGTTAACTATGGTTAGTGGAAACGTCATCCAATAAGAAGCGCGTATTTGAGAGTTAATCACTATGTAACTACAAAATACTGATTAAAAAAGTGATTAAGAGTTTTATACAACCGGCCCCAGGTATTTGTTGTTGTCCATTATCTTACTCCACTTACCTTTTAAATTTAATGTTAATCTTTGATTTGTCGAATATAAACTATTGCTTGCATGACATGAATAGCTTCCAATGTTATCCAGTACAGCTTTTGCAATAACCAGAGTCTTGTTATCGTTCTCAAATTGGACGTTGCTGAGATGTGACGTGTCACCATCTTTGGTCCACCAGATTTGGGCAGGCGGATTTGACAAAATTTCACATGTTAACGTCACGTTGTGATATAACAGAGCAGTTTGATTTCCAGTCAGGTTAATAATCCTTGGTTTTACTATAAATTAAGAGTGAACGGGAAAAGAGAATATTCACATCTTCATTCTTTTTGTAAGGATATATTGAACTAAGGATTTCATTACTACAGTACGCTCATTAAACGACCATAGGAGCATGCTGACACACCACACACATGTCTCGAATAACATCGACGATAATGCAGGTATCAGCGGCTTTCCCGGGGGGGTCGACCCCCGGGCCATCCAGGGGATTTGTCAAAACAGCCTTGACAAAAGGACACTAATGCCCGTGGGTTTGGGCAAAATTTTGTCACAAATACCCCTACCTCCGGGGTGAAATTTGGGAAACGGTATAACAAATGGTTATTTACAAAGAAATTTGTAGTAAGTTAATATACTTATCAACATATTTTTGGGCATCTCGTTCAATAAACAATGAAGCGTAGGCCGTAGAGAAGATATTTTTGAACTAAAAATTCATACACAATTTTATATAGGACGTTTGTCATTAATACGTTTGCTATTTTAGCCTATTTAATAAATCAGTATCCGATACAAAACGTTTAAAAAGTTTGTGTTCTTTATAGTTCCAAACAATTATTCTGGTGTTTCCAACTTTTATTGAGGATAGATGGCTAATTATTCATTTATAAATAAAATGATTAAATTACACTCACCAACCATCGATTGCAACTAAGCGGAAACGCGTCATGAGAAAACGCCTACCTCGTACCTGTGCTCGTACCCAGGCGCTATGTTGTTCTATGGCTCGCGTGGCCTTTGCGTGGGACGCGTGGATTAATTTTCCGTTTTTCTCCCTTGCGGCTCGCGTGCCGTCCCATGTGTACAAGCCAAAGCGCCAAGGTAAGAGGCAGAAAAAACGCGATCTAAGGGACGGACCATTAGAAAAGTGATGGGGGGGGGGGGGCATAACCAAACAAACTTTATTCCCAGAAAAAAATTAGGGGGAAAAAATCTTCCCAAGCTAGTGCAAAAAAAATTTCCTAGCTTCGAAGATAGGCCTGTAAATTTCACTTAAAAAAATATTTCCAGCCATCAAGTGAGAAAAAAAAATTATTTCTATAGGTGTACAAAAATCCCCTCCCCCCCATAACTTTTCTAATGGGGTCCGTCCCTATAATTGGACATGAAACATAACGTGTTTGGACTTCAAACTTTACATGATTTTGCTGGAAACATTTGACGGTTTACAATTACTTTTCCCGCGAAAACGTAACAAAGTTAGTACAAA